TACTGGGAGGCTTAAGGCCATATTACACAGATACAAGTCTAGGCATAGCAACGCCCATCACATCTCGAGTTAGCAGGCTCCTATGTCGACTGGTGGTGCAGCAAGAAACTTTCCTCCTGGGTGTGAGTATAGGTGCTCCCTTGCTAAGAAATCAGCACACACTGGTTCCCTTCTCTCCACTGGTGTTGCAATCTGCATTTCCACTGTTGCTCCACAAAGCTCAGTATTTGCCTTATCTGGTTGTGATGTGGACTGTCAGGGGGCAGCTTTGATAGAAGCTCTAAACTAGCTTTAGAATCAGTTTCCAAAACGACCTTTCTAAATCCCATATTCCAGGCTAATTTTAGCCCACGCTGTGTAGCCCATAATTCTGCACTAATGTTGGTCGTGGTTTCCACATTTGCCAGGAATCCCCCTCTCCATATTCCCCACTGGTCTCTAATTAATCCGCTTGCATCCGCTGCTCCCAGATTTCCACTACAAGTTCCATCCACATTAATTTTTATCCGTGCCTCTGGAGGCTTCTGTCAGGCAATGTATTTGATGTCCTCTGGTTCTCTCGTTGCTGCCTTTCCCCTGCCTTCTGTAATTGCTCTGGTTGGCTATGAATTGCTTGTATCTTTGTCTCCAATTTTGTTCTCTCCCCAGTACAGCAAAATTGGTTCTTTGCCATCAATGCTAAATAAGTTAGCAGTTGAAACATGATTTGCCACTTATATTCTTCAAATCAGCCCATGTGATCATCCTTTAAGTTGTTATCAATCCAATACATCGGGTAACTGCTATTAAATTCCTCCCACTTTCCAAGGTGCACCAGTTTTATCCATAAACCGCTTAATCCATCGGAACAATTATTGGTGAAAAATTGACTATATTCAATAAGTTAGGCTATATTTACTGATAACAATGTATATTAAATAAGGGTATTTTAAAGAAGTTAAAAGTTAACTATATTCTTTAATTGAAAGGTGGATTATAATTTGGAACAAATGAAAAAGGAAAACAAAATTATCAAAGTGGGAGTAGGGGAGTAAAAGAAACATTTATGACATTAAGTTGTAATTTTATTTCCAATAGTTTTATTAGTAATAAGGTAGTTTACAAACTTCTAAGTGATTAATTGAATTTTTTTATTATTTATCATAACAATTTTTGTAATTTGATGCTTGTAAGATACAAAAGTATTTAGAAAGATAAAGTAGTAGTAAAGAAATCTTGTTTAGGGATTAATAAGAAAAAATCTGCAAATTATTTGCTTTCCAATCGCATCATTGTCAAGGATAAAGGTGGGCAAAATTATCCGCTAACTCGAAAACCCGTCATATCCGATCCGACCCATTCCGAAAATTAGGATACTTGATTTGTATTATTTGATCGGGTCAAACTAAGGTCAGGTACCTGCTAAGATGCGGGGCGAGTTAGGGTCACATAATTAAAAATCCACAAGTACTCGACCCGCCAGGCATATATATATTTTTTATTTTTTATTTTATATACATACTATAAAATAATAATTTAGAACTAAATAAGTAATTTCATTGAACAAATTGAATTACAAATATGAGAGACTATAATTTATTTACAAGATTCATTTGTAGAGGTCATGATCTTATGTTTTATAAAAAAGAGTTTAATTAATGTGGAACATATATTTAAAAAAATGTGCAACTTATTTCAAACTTTTATTGATTTTGAATTCTTTTAATTTTTTTCCTTTATCTTGTATTCTTTTCATATGCTTGTTTCTTTGTGGGAAACATTTTTTGAGAAAGAAATCTTTATTAAATCTTAGATGAATGTGTAAAATATAAAATTAAATTAGTATAAATAATTTTTATTTAAAAATTAAATGATAAGTGGGGCGGATCGGGTACCGGTTGACCCGACTCTATTTCAGCGGATACTTTATAATTGGATACCTGCTAATATGCGGGGTGAGTAAGAATCACAAAATAGCTGACCTGTAAGGTACGGGTCGGATCAATCAAATGGTGGACGGGATAGGTACCCGACCCACACCCACCCCTAGAACGCCAAAAAAGAATAAATACCCAACAATTGTGGATTCACTACAATTTAGACAGACGTGGTCCTACGGAACTTGCAAGCATCGTCACTTCGCAACTGGGTGGAATATTAAGCAAAGACTTACTTGAGCTCGTTTGATAAGCCCTCAAGAAAAGTCGTAGCCCGAGAGGTTTGGAAACCTAATATCTATTACCAAAAGGAAAAAAAAAAGATCCGCTGTCGACTTCAAGAATGGGAAGGAAATGCAGACATGGACATTTGCTTGATTTTCTTCCCTTTACAGCCTTTGCATCTCAGACAAACTTTACCTGAATATTAAGAGATAAAACAACCTTGGTAAGTGGAATTTGTGCATGAAATATTTTATTTTTGAGATGTCAATTTGAGTTTTAATTATATTAGGTCGATATTTCTTTCTCAAATTTTGTCCAGGTCAATAATTTGTGGCAATTTCATAAAAGAAATTTGACAAATTTTATGGATAATACTTACTACAGTATTTCTATGCTTATAGATAGATTACTTGCAAGTTTGAATCGACAGGAGTTGACCTTAGACTCCAAAAATGTGCAAAGGCACATATTAGGCCAAAACCTACCATTCAAACGTTGGAAATTTATTATAATGATGTAGGAATTGTATGGATACTTGCATAGACAAATTAATGTATAGAGGTATTAATGAGTCGAGTCAAGTTCGAATAGTGCTATGTTCAAACTCGAATTCTGATGCAACATAAATCTACTCAAATTCGAACTCAAGTCGAATGAATAGAAAATTATGTAGCTCAACTTAACCTGTCAGTATGCATTTCCAAACTTGACTCGACTCATTAAGGCCCGAGATTAGTCTCAAATCTTAACAAGCTCCAAGAATTGAAATAAAACTTGAAAATTTTGAAAAAAAAACTCGAAAAATTATGGTAAATGACCTAAAATTCTTGTCTCTTTTTTAGTTGTTACAATATTACTTTTTTACCATTTAAGAATTTTATTGAGTAGACAAAACTTATAATAAATTATACAAAACATAGACACTTATTTGTCCTTTCGAATAACTCCATGCATATTCTATGAGTATATATAATATAAATACAAATAAAGGTTCGAACTTGACTTGATATATGCATGGAGTTATTCGAACTTAAATTCAAACTCGATAAAATTGAATTCAAACTAATCATTTGATCGAGTCACTTACGAGCTACTTGCAAGCAGCTTGACTAGTTAGCAGCGCTATTAATGGTGTGGTAAAAGAGCGCAATTGTTCCGGTGCATCTTGTACACGACTATGATCTCCAAATTGCATGGTCAAAATAACAGGTGGTTGAAGCGGCTGAGAATAGAGTAAGTGATTGAAGGAAACGTGAGAATGAATCTCTACTCATTTAAAAGTCCCACTTAAGAATAAACCTAAAATTCGTAACTTGAAGTATTCTCCAAAGTAAAAATAATTTGTGAACGTGCTAGACTGTGCATACATTCAAGTAATACTTATCATTTTCTAGTAATAGCACGGATTTCCACTCAAGAAATTCTTAGGATGCGTTTGATTAAATTAAAATTTGAAATTAAAATTCATTAAATTATTGAATTGTTAAGTACTAAAATTCTAAAATTTAAGCATATTTTACATTAAATGATAAGTGAACATCCTATTACTTATTTTTTAGAGTAAATTTTGCTTAGATAATTTAGTGCCGCTTAATTAATTAATATATTCTATTTTTTATTATTAAACGTGTTTGAATATAATAAGGTCCAAACTCGTTGAATTCAAGTGCAAAATTAAATTATCAAGCAAAGCCTAAATTTGAAAAGTATTTGCCGAATTAAGTTAATTACATGTCACAGTTAAACGGATAGGCCATGGAATAAAATACCTATACAGTCAATTCTCCACATGAAAAATTTAGCTGGCAAATCCGTGCTCTCACCGTATCTGACTCAATACAAATAAACATATGTGCAAATTGAACGGGCGGCTATCGCCATGCGAATCTTCTCATACTAGCTATCAAGCTGTATATCTTATGCGTTTGATACTATAATAAGTAATAAAGCAACATTCAAGGTGAAGTTTCTCTAGTGATGATTAACAAACAAGTGTTATGTAGAATTGAGAAGTTAACTGACGCAGCTACGCATGTAAATGTCTAATTACTAAGAATAAATCTAAGAGTTCTTTCAACTCATCTGTAACAATAGTTAACTTGAACGATGCTCCAAGGTTAAAATATCTGTGAACGTTTAAAAATGTTATGTTAAAGGAATTATCCTTTTCTAGTAATAACATGGATTTTCCAAGTGAAGAAAATAATTGATTTGAAAAGTTTTTAAAGAAATTTAAGGTAGTGAACTGTCATAGTTAAAGAAGATAGGCAATTCACTACATGTCAAACTTGTCCATTTCGTGCAGTACTCCATTAGTCTTACTCATTGTACATCTAAACAAAATGCAAGTTCAGTTGGCAGCTTTAGACTTGAGAACTGTCTCATGTTATTTGTCAAACTAATATTGTTACACGTCTCGTACAATAATAAATTGAAAGCCAACATTTTTGGACAAATTTGGGTTAAACTTCACTATCAAGTTCCCCGAACCAAAGGTTATAAAACAAGTGTTACGCAAAATTTACACCAGGAATTGATTGGAAATAATACTACTTGGGTTGATTTCACCATTATCCTTCAAATTTGTCAACGCAGCTAACTGAGAACTGACTCACTCATTCATGTTGGTCACAAAAGTTGAAGGGATGAGGTTAATCAACAGTCTGACGGACAAAACGTGCAGGAATGTGCAAAGTTGAACAAGGAAACCTCACTTGTGTATAGGATGAGCTCATCCTGAAGACCAAGAATTACAAATTCACAACACGGGTAGGTTATAAATATAAGCAATACGATGAATTGGTTCAAACAAAAAAAAAAAAGACCCAAAAATCAGATAGCACTGACCAAAATATAGATTCCAATACCATAGATAAAAAGATGGATAGCATAGACAAAAGATGGGAAGTTCTCGGCGGCAATAACAACTGGGATGGCCTATTGGATCCTCTCGATTACGATCTTCGTCAATACATCATTCACTATGGAGAAATGGCTCAAGCAACTTACGATTCCTTCAATGCAGAGAAGGCATCAAGGTATGCAGGAAGTTGCCTCTATGCAAAGAAAGATCTTTTCGCTAAGGTTGGCCTTGAGAATGGCAATCCCTTTAAGTATCGTGTGACAAAATACCTGTACGCGACATCATCGATCCAACTTCCTGAGGGTTTTATCTTAAAATCGTTCTCAAGAGAGGCATGGAGCAAGGAATCAAATTGGATGGGTTATGTTGCTGTGGCGACAGATGAAGGAAAAGTTGCACTAGGAAGAAGGGATATTGTGATTGCTTGGAGAGGAACAGTTAGGAGTTTGGAATGGGTTAATGATCTTGAATTTGTTTTAGTCTCAGCACCTAAGATTTTCGGTGAAAATGATGATCCTAAGGTGCATCAAGGTTGGTACTCCATCTACACAACAGATGATTCAAGATCACCTTTCAACAAGACCAGTGCTAGAGACCAGGTAAAAGATCACATTTTCCTTTTGGGGAAATATTATTTGCACTATTATTTTTGTTAATCACACTTCTGTTATTATTTTAATCATATAATTTTCATTTATTTGACTATATGATAAAACAGTTGATGGGAGGGCAAATAACATTTTCCTTTTCTAAATTAGGGCTGTTTTTGGCAACACTATTCAGTTTTTATTTTTGGGTACGAAGTTTAATTTTTTGCTCCTGTGGTATGTATGTTTAAGGTTCTGGACGAGGTCAGGAGGCTGGTGGAGGAATTCAAAGATGAGGAAATTAGTATAACTGTAACAGGTCACAGCTTGGGTGCCGCGGTGGCAACCCTTAATGCGGTGGACATAGTTGCTAATGGATTCAACAAATCTCTAGAGAATCCAGGCAAGGCTTGTCCTGTCACAGCCTTTGTGTACGCGAGCCCTCGAGTTGGGGGGCAGGGCTTCAAAAAGGTGTTCTCTCAGCAACAAAACCTTCGAGTCCTACGCATTCATAATTCCCTAGATGTTGTTCCAAATTATCCATTGCTAGGTTATGCCGATGTCGGCGAAGAGTTGCGAATTGATACAACTAAATCAAAGTACCTGAAAAATCCTGGAAATTTGTCATCTTGGCATAGCCTGGAATGCTACATGCATGGAGTCGCGGGAAAACAAGGGCTTCAAGAAGGATTCAAGCTGGTGGTGAATCGTGATGTTGCACTTCTTAACAAATATATGGATGTATTAAAGGATGAACATTGTGTACCGGTTTCTTGGTGGTGTATTCAGAATAAAGGCATGGTTCAACAGGCAGATGGATCATGGGAGCTGGAGGATCATGAAGATGATGATTTCTGATCCAAAAAGGAAAAAGAAAAAAGAAAAAAGAAAAACCATCTTCAGACTTATAGTGAGACTGTGAGAGGTCGGCAAGGACTAAATCCATGTGTTATATGTTGGCAAAATAAACCAAAAACTAGAAGTTTCTATTATTTATTTGCTAGTTTTATTGGAGTCAGGTTTTTTGTAATTGTGTTAATTAAAAATATGTGTTTTATTGGATAATTGTTGATGTAAGTGGTTGCTTACCGAACAAGTCTGATTAGTTATAAATAAAGCATCGGTTATGATATTTTCTTTAGAGAGTCTGGAAGAGTTAGTAAGCTTTTATTGTAGTGTGACTTTCTTCTACTGTTTTGAGATATAATAATAGTGTCTATTATTTATTTTCTTATCTTTCACATAAATATTTTGAATGATTATTTTATCCATTCAAATTTGTAGCCCTGCACATATTAATTATTATTAGAAGACTAAAATTTGGATTCTACATTATGCCTACGTTAACATTCCTCACTGATTCTTAGCTCCTTTTAAAAAAAAGATATTACTAAGAGCTTTGGTAGAGATGAAAAAATGATTTGCTTTCTTGCTTGATTTGTAGGAGGGCTGTCATTTTTCTCTTTTCGTGTGAGAGAAGTAACATGGTGGGGGTTCAAATAAAAAGCTTAAACAAGAAGTATATTTGGTGAATTCCTTAAATCAGCTGAGGAGATTCTGCCTTTGATTATTGGTATCTTAGCTATTGCTACTATAAGCAATTACATCATGTTTCAAGAATATATCTAGTTTGAGCTTATAGAAGTTATAATTAGTAGTTGAGCTCTGGTTGTTGCAACAATCATTCAATGCCATGTAGTAATAACTTAAGATCATCTTTATATGGTATCTTAGCTATTGCTACCATAAGCAATTAGAAGTTATAATTAGTAGTTGAGCTCTGGTTGTTGCAACAATCATTCAATACCTTGTAGTAATAACTTAAGTCTAAATATCATCTTTATAGTAAATTACACTATCATTTTCTTTAAAGAAGAGAACTATGCACATTCTAGCACAGAACAACCAATACTTTTTTTTTTGGCTGACAAGGGATTGTAGTAATAAGCACAGGAACGGAGGGTAAGACGCACTAGGCAACTCCCGTGCGGTGGGCAGATGTTCTAAAAGAGGTTTGAACCCGAATTGGTAGGAAGGTATAACATTAACTCTTCCATTTTGGCCAACTCAAGGGATAACAAATACTTTGTTTGATCAAAAGAAATAAATTACACATGGAAGATACATGTTAAAAAAAAAAGCCCTTATTCAATTACAAAACTAGATCGGTACAGATAGAAAAACATTACCATACTGCTCTCAAAGTGGAAACAATGCTTGCAAAATATTCTGTAGAAAGGAACTAATGTTCTTATTCGAAGGCCTTCATGATGTTTTTGCGCAACATAATAATTTGTTGATTCAATTTTTTTTAATAAATAGAAGACGTGAAGAATGCTCTGGTTCAGGGACAACATTAGTACAAGAAGAAAAAGAAAATGCGAAATAAAAGGAAACTTAAAATTAATTTCTAAAAACTTGTTTAACATATTATTATGACCTTGTCTTTGGAACAGTAAAGAAGACAGATGAAGGTTTTGTGAAGAAATTCAAACGGAAATATCTTCCGTGTAAGTAAATTCCATGTACAGCATGTAACTTGAAGCCAATCATCAGAAGCTTTTTATTTCCATTTATGAGAGGCTACTCTTATAAACTTAAAGGACAAAAAAAAAAAAAAAAGGAGTCAAAGTTGCAGGTATCTTTTTAAGTTTATTTTGGGCAAAATGGCCCAATAATCCTTAAACTATTACCAAGTTCAACTTTTAACTCTTCAATTATTAAATGGACACTTTTAACCCTCTAAGTAATTAAAACATATACTCAGAGCTCTTATGTCAACATGAATCGTTATGTTCGACAGAATAATAAAGGTGGATCTTGAAATTTTTGGTGCTATTTCTGTTAGACGTAACGACTTAAGTTGACAGAAAGGTTACGAGTATACGTTTTAAGTAGTTGGAGTCTAAAATTGCTTATTTAATAGTTGAAAAGTAAAAAAGTTAAAATTTGTAATAGTTTAAGGATCACTGAGATATTTTGCCCTTCTATTTTTTTTTTAACAAAGGGAACTGCTGAAGTATAGAGCACAAGAACTCTCCACAGAGACCTTTTCTTCTTGGCGTGGGTGGGATCGATTGGGCCTTAAGGTTTGCTGTGCTTAACCAATGTTCAGAGAAACACAGATCTAGTGGACTTGAGTTGTTGAGGTCCAGTAACTAATTAAGGCCCGAACAGTATTGTGCGGCGTCCCAGTTAGTGTTGGGTTTCGAATCCAACTTGTCTTTTGAAGTTTTCATGTCAATTCATCGGTTATCAAAACTACTTTAAATTAAAAAAAAAAAATTAATGTAATTGTGCAAGATTATTGACTATTACTATAGTAAATTAAAACACTTGTTACTTTAAATTTAAAAAATTAACGTAATTGTTCAACAATTAATTTGTATGAACAAATTATTGAGTAATGTAGGGGTGCTGATACTTACGGCTACCATCAATTGATCCTGCTTACATTTTTTTGAACTATCAGTGATAATGTTTATATCAATAGCCGGGTTCAAGTTAAGTGATGAACAAAAAAAAAAATTTTTTTTTTGGTAGGATCTTTGAATGTCAAATATTGGATACTGAAAACCTTGCATCTTTTTACATTTTTGGAAAATGTAAAAAACTCATCCACACAGAGTTAACGTTTTCTATAGTTAATGACTTTGTGTGACTTCAATAGCACCTAGACGGCTACACAAAATGCATGTTTAAAAGGCTAAGGCACGTTAGTTTCTGATTAACTCAAGGTCTCAAATTAGAACTTCCATAGCCCTAGCAGCATTAGAATCCTTTCACACGCATAGTTTGGTAGTGTTTGGCTGCAAGGTTAAAATGTAGGAAAGTGAACAAAAGTTCGCTATTCTTTCTTTGTGTGTATTCATTTAGCACTAAAGTTTAGAAAATTTCTCTGCACTTTCCTGTATTTTGTGTCCTGCAAATTTTGTTGTAGGATTGTGGAGGAAAATAAACAGTTCGTCAGATATACTTATCAAAATAACTGCGACTAACTTTCAATAACTTGCCAATTTCTCTCAAATCTTCTCTTGCTAAATAATAGTGACTATTTTTTTTTCCATGTAAAATCAAATGGCGCCTTCAAACCGTTTCAATCTCTTATAAATCTCACATATTGTCCAGAAAATATTTGCCAAACTTAATATTTTGTCCCATCATAAACTTTTAACACTTCCATATTGCATTCTGAAACATTGAATCAATTTTGGTGCGAAGACAGAGATGCGTGAATTGTTGAAACGCGTAGTGTTTGTTTGCAAGACTCGTACGTGATAATCGTTTGTTGTTTGTCTGTGTTTATACTTTACTGGTTAGTCACAGTCAAAAGGAAGTATGGATACAAGTACTTAGATTCGAGCAAGTTCTTGTTGGATTGATCGAAAGCGAAGAAACTGCCCGTGACTTGTGCCAAGTCAATGCAAAGGTGAGGCTGCATAGTTGTGCCACTATAGGGTCCCAATGCGACGATGCATCGCAGTTTAGTTGACAAAACGTTTCATCTGTAATTGATTGGTTGCGGTTTAAAATCAGTATTATCCTCTTAAAAAAAAGGATCCCAATTCTTCTTCATGCAAAATATTTCTTGTCACCTCAAAATTAAAAAAAGCCCACTTTAGAAATTTGATGGAACAAATGGAGCTTTTGAATTTACCTGCATTGTTTTGAACTTATTTTTGTGACTCGGAATAATAAAAAAACTTGTGATTAGGACTTGAAATTTTAGAAAGAATTATAGAGAATTCCGAAAAGGAGCAAAAACAAAAAAAAAACTCGTACTGGTCATGTTGTAGAATCAAGTTCAATGTACATAAGGGACTTAAATAGAGATACCTAACTATGAAAAGTTCTTATAATAGAGTTAAAGGGAACTTTCTTGGATTTAAGGCAGTCCTTGTATTATTTCAAAACTCTACTAATTCTGTTGAATCAATTGATATTAATACCGTGTCAGGTGATAATTCAAGTGCCCATTTCTGTGGCTTTGAAAATCTTTTCTTTCTGCAGCAGAAAAATTATTTATCCTCTCAGATTCGTTTGTTTATCAAATTAAAGAAGTATATATAACAGGACCAGCAAAGTTACACTCCTCAACATTCACTCTAGTTATTACTCCTACTACAATGCAGATGGAAAGATTAAACAAGATATCTTGTCTTCTCATTTCAACCGAAAAACGGGGAAAAAGAAAGGACGAAATAAGAGAGCTAGGGTGGCAGTATGCAAAAACAGCAATCTAACCAATAATACTTTTCTGCTGTTTTTCTTGTGGAAATACAAACATTCTACACTTTATATTTACTTTGATAATAATCATGCTAATTAGAGTTTTAGAATTCCTTAGATATCAGAATGTCACCAAGGTTGAATATATACCCTACGATGCTCAAATTGAGCTTCTGCCGTTACTGGTCTCCACTTGCTTGGCATGTAAATTTATTTGACCCAAAAATTCAGATCCAGTTTGGGCAGATTAACACTCAGCAATGACTACGTACGAAAGTAGTCGAAAAGGTAGAGCATTATTATTATTTTTTTTTTAATTTTTTCAGCAAGGGAAGGATGAAACTTAAATAGTAGGGAGGACATAGGAGATTTAAATTTAAAATCTCTAATTTCCGGAGTTTCAATTTTATCCACGAAATCAAAATCTGCTCGGCAAATAATGTATCGACAAATTAGAGTATTATTTGATGAATTTTAGCAGGCGTAAACTAGAATCGCATGTAAAATTAATTAGTTGGATCTGGTGGAGAGAAGACCAAGTAAGCATTTCTTTTAATGAATTCTTGATTACGTTACCCCTAGCGTGGAATTACTAATTACGACAAATCACTAGATTCAGAGCCTATGGAATGCCACCCCACAACTATCATCAGTTGCATGCACGATAGTAAAA